TATATATATTGAAATAGGTTAATGAAATAATCTAAAATAGTAATTTTAACTGTTTAATTAAATAGGTTGACTTACTATTAAAAGAAATATAGTAAAAATTACTTTAATATTATAAATCAGAAAATAAAAATCAAATTATACATACATGTTGTAAATCGTGCAATTCCGTTAATCAGTTCTCTATATAAATAAACTGGTATCAATTTTAAAAATTATTTTATAATAATTACCGCAATAAAAATCATATACTTCGTATTAATTACGCATCACTGGAATTTCTTATTATTTTGGTAACCAACCATACAACATGTCTTCAAAAAAATATTTAATAAATTTTTTTTAGAAAAATATTATTTGAATTATAATTACAAAGTTTGAAAATTAGTTACGGAAATTTTATTATGATATTTATCACAATGTTACAATAAAATCTTATTTATCAACATTAATAACAAATCACGGTAATTTCTTATTCATTTGGTAACCAACCATATAATATTTTTTAGCGTATCTTCAAAAGATGATTTAATCAAGAGGATTATTTTAGAAACACCTTTGATTTATCAATAACTCAACCATTTCAGTTTTCTAAAACAAACCAATCTTTATACGTAATAACAAATCATGTGTTCTCCTGCTTCCAAACATATGTAGACCAAAATATGCATGAGAACATTGCAAAATATAATTACAAAATAAATGTAGAAATCAATTGTAAAAATCTCATTGATATAACTACCGCAATACTACAATAGAATTAATATCTAACATCAATAACAAAATCCCCGATCATTTGGTAATAAGTCATATACCAAAAGTTATATATTCAAGGAGTTCAAAAATATTATTTGGTTTTATCAATAACTGCACCGAACCATTTTTTTAAAAATTCATATTCTTATTACAATATCATTAAAAATTCCACATAAATTAATAGATTATAAAGAAAATTTAAAATGTTATAATATACATAATTATAAGTTATAAGAAAATAAATAATATTGACATAATTACAAATTAATACTTTTTTAACTTCAAAATAATATATAGTGCAGCCTTTTCCAATTAAATGTTGGTTGTAATATTTGACACTATTTTTCTATTTTAGCATAACTTATTTAGACATCAACATAATATATTGTAATAAGATATGAGTAAGGGAATAGAGAGAGAGAGAGAGAGAGGGAGGGAGGGAGAGAGATCCTTTATTATAAACATGAGCTGTAAAATGACAACTATTTTATAACAAATGAAATAAATATATAAATCATATATTAAATCATTATACATCAGAAAATAAAAATATTAATACATAAAATAATTTTTACACTAATTAATATTTCATTGCATTAATACAAGCAACATATAATTATTTCTCCGTGCATCGCACGAGTTACGTACTAGTTAATCAATATTAATCACCATTTCATATTGATAAGTAATGGGGTTGAAATCCTTAACCCGGTCCAAAGTTCCAATACCGACTCGAAGTTGTCTTTTTTCGACCTCCTCACTCTTGACGATCTAACTTGATGGCCAGAAAGCCTGAAAAAGCACCGAGGACCTACCTTCCTTGCCAGAGAGAATAATTGTTGCTTGAGATTTATTAAAATGATAATATGTCAGTCCCCTGCAAATCTTCTTGTGGTACCTTTATTTAGGAGAGGTATGGTTCACCGTATTGTCTCGGCTTGCAAGGGGTACTCGAGCTCCTGTACTGGGTCGATGGTTGACCCAACGACCCTAGGTCGCGGAACCCTGGTATGGTCGACAATGTCGGTGCACTCAATATGGTCTACAATGGTCTTGAGGTAGGCGTATCCAAGGTCGAGTAAATTTGGTCAAACTATAACAACCTGGTCTGGGTAGATGTCGACAGGTTGAACCGGGGTCTAATCAACTATACTATATTAACTACTCCCCCTCATTTATGAACATGCGAGCTAAAGCACGTGTGGTCATAAATATCTGCATGCGGGAAAGTGAGGCATGTTGTTCGTCTCAATGACCCAGCAATTCACGCGTTTAAACGGACGCGTCATCTCATTTACTGAGGTGAGTCCTCACCTGTCACCCTCATTGTAGGTAGTGGATCTTTGAGTTGTTGCCCTTGATCTAATGGCTCCCGATCGAAAACCCTTGAGCTAGCCACCCCAAGGCCTATAAATAGGACTCTTACCTAATTTTTTCCTCTTTCTCACATCTCGCATACTCCAGCTCCCATATAACTTCTAAGTTCCAACTTTTGGCTAACGATTCTCAAGTGACCACCTCGACCTTTCTTTTATCTCAATCTCGACCTTGGATCTTTCGAAGTGATGTTCTAGCATGCGTCAGACATGCTTGGCAGTCTTGCATTGAACTATCATCTCGTGTTGTGTATGATCAACGACTATCAGAATTGCATATAAGACTTGAAAGTTCGCCTCTTCTTGCATGCGTTCCGGATTTGTTCACTTGTCTCTTGGTTCGAGTACTTCATCACTACATCATGTATCCCACTGTCTTGTGCTCTTCTCATTGCTTGAGGTTTCCAGCCATTCTTCATGCTTCCCCACTCTTTTTTCCCCAAGGAACACAAGAATATGGTCATCATCGATTTCTAATAAGAATAGAACGAGTCGTCTAATTGCGGAGGCCTCAACATGTATCCACCGTTGTGATTCATAATTGTCCAAGTACAAGTCTACAAGATCTTCGTAGTAATGAACGAAAGCTCGCTCTGGTGCCAATTAAAATTTGGAGAGATACCAAATTGCGCTTTAATAAAGTAAACTATGAACATTCACTCAAGTTGCGGAAACAATTCAAACATAAAATGAACCTTCAAGAGAGCATCCTACTCTTCCTCGAACTCGTTCATTCAAATAAGTGTTTGGTCAAGTACAACTAGGATTTACAATAAAGACTCTCTCTTCCTAACCTACGTCGTACACACTTATCTAATTACGCTTCCAACCTCTCCTCGTGGACTTTGTTTTCAACACGGATCTCTCCGTGCAAAATGAGAAAGCGCTCTTCCCAAGCACATTGATGAGAATCAAAGTATATGTGATTTAAATCAGAGTTACTCTAATTTGATCATTCACTCAAAACAAATAAAAACTAAACAGTGATCACTCTATCTTCTCTCTCTCGCTCCCTTCTCTTGAGATGATAATCACTATCTAAAACTAAGTGTGCGAGACAGTTGAACACAAGTTATACATGGTAAGTAGGCTCTTCAGCAACTTCCAAATATCATTCTCAAATCAAGGTAAATACGCGCGTCCAAGTTCTTCCAATCACGTCAGCGCGTCCTTTCATTTACATGTTAAGTACTCGCACAACTCTCTCCTGTCTATTCAAGATAAGTACACGTCAGTCCACGCTTCTCTTTCTCATCTACCAAGTAAGATAATATCCCACACCAAATCTTCCTAATATAATTAAATCAACAAGTCCAAGAATAAAGAATTTAATATAAACAAGGAATAAATTTGAGAATTCTTCCCTTAGTCTTCAAGAAGCCTTCCAAGTTGGCTAATTAAATAGACATAAGGACTCAATTGAGATTTTTGATTTAATGCTAAAAATTAAATTATTACACTTATTAATTTTTCCGTCCTCAATGAGTGAGAAAGAAAATGAAATTGCACATTAGAGACTTTGAAGGGAAAGAACTATCTACTCTATATGAGTGCAACTAGTCCTTATGACCAAATTCTTACATAATTAAAAATATGATGAAAAGAGGAATAATCAAGTAGAAAGCAGACTACCTTTGATTTAGTGTGAAAGTTACCCATGGTCATTAATCCTTTGTGTTTAGAAATATAAAAATAGTTATTCAGCTGGGATAGAGGAATGCGATCCATTCATTCTATGTAAAGGAGTAAATATGCCATTACTTATTTATGCCAACTTCGTCCACACCGATCTCATTTATTTTTTAAATCTTTTAGACACAACTTTTAGTCATAACTAGGACATGCGTACGTGGTGAGTTTGAAAGTTATTGATATTATCTCACTGTACAATGTGCGAATTTGGACACATCTTCTACTTTCTGCGGAAGAGTAAGCTTTTTGTGGAGTGAGTTCGCGAGTTTCAAGAACTTTGATGATTATGAGGATGATGTGCATTATGACTGTGATATATTTGCGGCTTAATTATTCGCGTTTTGATCTAAGATATTCAAGAATTAGATTTGTATGTGATGAGTTGTGATAGTTTTTTAGGTGCTTCGCTATTTTTTTTTTCTAGG